CACCACAGCGCCGACATGTGCATATAAACCCGCCTCACCTTCGATGGCATAAATATCCAACAGCCGGAGGGTCCGGATGTTATCGACGATTGGATATTCCGTGCTGGTGAGAACCCTGTCAGGACTGTGACGCCCGAAACCTTTCTGATATGCGAAGCAGATGGCATAGACCAAATCCAACCAGCTCATGGTGCCGTGTTCGCATCTGAGGGTTATATGGATGGTTGTCGACGAGTACCCGTTGGCCTAGGAGCGAAGCAAGATCAGAATATCTTTACCAAGGCGAGAAGAACAAGACTGACCATAAAGGTAAACGGCACGACTCTTCCAAGCGCCTCTGGAATCGGACTACGCCACGCATCACCTCTACCGGCCTCTTCTCGGGGATCCCGTTCAACACCGCGAGCGTCTTGTCCCTGTCGCTTTCCTAGCAATTCGATCATCGAAACACCGGGAAAGCCCGAACCGGGGGCATTTGGGACTTGGAAGACGATTTTGGTGCGAGATTTGACCTTTTTTTTAGAACTGACAGCGCCTAACTTGTGCTCCTCCGGACATGGAAGCATCATGCTCGTGGTCTTTCGTGGGTCGGGTGCGAAAAGAGCATATTGAGGTTGCGAAGACGGCTGGAAGATGTGAGTCAGTGATTGGTGCAACGAGTTTGACAGTTGGGATGAATTCCAGCCCGATCAAGTCGACGACAAGTCCAAGAAAGAAACATAAGAACAAAAGAAGAAGGTACTTACATTCCTCAAAGCCATCTGTGCCTCTGAATTCATGATACAGTGCGAACATGGAGCTTGCAGGGGCGGTGGTCGAGCTAGTGGATCCTGCCGAGACGCATATCCTTGGACCTGGCGATGCCCAGAATGAACATGAATCGAAGGATGGCTCATCGAATGGATCGAAGCATGAGCCTGCATCCTCCGTTGATGTAAATACTCGGACTCGGCAATGAGAGTCTGGACGGGCCGCAGATTTTGCTGGTGCAGAGTTTGCGGTGGCAGATTCGAACTGTAGATGGGTGCAACGCGAGCGTAACTCTGCTGTGGAGGTGTCAGATCGAAAATCAGGAAAGCCAGGAGAGCCGCGGACTGGATAGGAAGACATTTTTGATAGACGCTTGAAATTGTTTCGGGAACAATTCGATGGATAGATTGCTCTCGTTCTACTGAGACTGTTGTTCGAAAGTTATTGAGATGACACCGAATTGCTAAAGCCTTTTATACTCCAGAACGAACAATGAAAACCAGATCGGGCAAACGAGAGTCCACAAACGGATCAACCACAGGACCTCAGAAGACTCGTGGAATCTACCAAAGCGATGAGCGAAACTCGGACCATCAGTTACTTGGACCCACGAAACATAGCGCATGAAATATAACGAGATCGTAAACAACGAGGCAATCTGCCGAGCCATTGTCCCGTTCCAAGCGATGGTCATTGTCGTCAGGGATAAGACCCATTGTACTTTAAGCAACGAAAGGCTTTTGCCGGCAATGGAAACAAGGCCTGGTACGCAGACTTTTGCGGGAGTTCATTGTTTTTTGAAAAGCGGAAGATGCCACTCAGATGGCGGTGGTTGAGTTATCAAAGGTCCTCCACCGTCAAAGGGAATATCCTCCGGCGGGGGCCATCAGTCGGGATCCAAGGACATCACTATACTGACCTGATTTCAGTGGTGCAAAGTGGTCAAGAAGTTGCGACTCCGAGTCCATCACCGCCGCAGTGCCGGACAATCGGAGTCTCAGCAGGCGCCCCAGAATCGGAGACCGAAGCGGAGCTTGAACCGATTTTCTTTTTTCATCAAAATGTCTTCCGTTGTTCGAAAGTTGCTTTCTATTCTCCATTCTATATAAATGTTCTCCCTTGTCCGTTGGTTTTGGTAGTAGGACCGCGGCCGTTTTTCGGCCCCCCTGCCTCGCGGCGCAGGTGTGAAATATGTGCTGCGGTTTCTATAAAGTCAGAGATTCTGCAGTATTTGATGGCATGATCCTGACCACCCCCTGACCGATCTCTTTAGCTTCACATCGGGTGCAGCTTCTTGGTTCATATAGATCCCGGAACGGATGCTCAAAGGCATTCAGAGATTTGAAATACGAACGACTCACTACTAGAAAGCCTCGAATATCGAGTTTGCTCCTCCGTGATGAAAAAAACAATGGACGTTTGGGTGTTTCAAGACTGAGACGGGTTCAGGGCCAATCCAGTCTAAGATTCAGAATCTACTCCGATTTGATTTCCTCCCAATCTGCATGATCCAACAACTTCTACAGTACTTGAGGGTCACTCTGAACAGCAATCAACCGGCCGTTGAGCATCTTCGTGAGACCGTGTTGAGAACATTACAAGTGAGATCCCAAGCAGATGAATATCGTAGGCTCGGGATCTACCTGGATGACCGTGGCACCTATCAATGACGATAGAACCACACCGATGCACATTTTCAGGACACACTAGCGGAAAATCAGTTTCCACAATCGAAAGACAGATATGGTCCCTGTCTTTGCTGTAAATAATTGATTCATCCACTGCGGATTCCAATCCAGCCCATTCTATTCGTGGAACTCGATTATTCTCTTCACCGCTGGCGACCGGATAAGGCTTTCCACTTGGATATCCTTCTCATTGAGAGGAGGCAGTAAATGGTCTCACTCTCTATCAGAGGGATAAGCACCCTTTCAACCTTTGTTCTCTTGTTTTGGGAGAGACAAAGATTCTGCTTGATTTCCACTTCATAGTCCCTACTCATATCTCTCCAGTAGGACTCAAACATACCAAACTTGGTACACCATCAAAAGAGTGGAGGTGAAGTTTGTCAAGAGGAGTGGTGATATTAGAATTAGAGTGCGTGAACCATTGTTCACGGACAATTTTGCGTTCATTGACTATTGGACCCAGTCCTTGCTTCCGTCAATGCAATGCTGGAGCGATAGGCCGGGTCGAATTAATTCTTCTGTTGTATTTGCGGTAGGTTTCCATCATATACACGGTTTTTCCTTTCATATACACGTTGAATTTCTTCCATATACAAGTACAGCTTCATACACAGTTATTACAATCAAGACAGTAAAGAGTTAGCACTACAATCAGGAGAGCAGAGAGACCAAGGGAACTATAGTCCGATATTGAAAGTGGTGATGTGCATCAATAACCATCGCCGCCGTAGCCTCCATAGCCGCCACCATAGCCGCCGCCATAGCCGCCACCATAGCCTCCGTGGCCTCGGTGATCCCCGCGGTGCTGCAGTTTCTGATTAGATCCCTGGAATAAATGAATCAGGAAACAAGCTCTTACATGACCGTGACGGTGACGGTGCTTGCGGTCACGTCCACGTCCTCGCCCATAACCATCTCCAACGCCATAACCATCTCCAAAGCCATAGCCATCGCCGAAGCCAAAGCCATCTCCAAAGCCAAAGCCGTCACCCTGGAGCTATACTTAGTCAAAGGTAGAGGCAGATAATTGATGGGGCGTACAGTAGCACTGGTGCCAGTTCCTTTGGCAGCAGCTTCATCGCGGCGGTAGCCTCCATATCCACCGTGCTTGAGGGGAAAATGAGAAGAATCACAAGGACTGCCGTTTTACTACTTACGTGGTGGTCGTGGTGGTGATGTTTGTGACCTCTGTGGTGACCGTGTCTGTGGCGTCGGTCTCCGCCCCCATAGTCGTCGCCGTATCCTCCCTAGAACACGACGTCAGCCAGAACAAAGATTGCAAGGCTGAATTAATCTCACATCGCGAGCTTCGAGATCGGTCTGAAGGTCGTTTGTTAGAAGACTCTTGAGAGTTTAGGAAGGAATTACCTCGGTACGAGCGACGATGTCACCGGTGGCAGCCTCCGGGTTAGGGAGAGCATAGGCCAAAGTGAGGAGAGAGAAGGCGAGAAGAGCAGTGAATCGCATCGTTCAGAGTGTGTCGAGGCTGATGCAGAATATGTGAATCCATCCCACCTTTTATACGATACACCATGGCTAAACAAAGGCATTATTGCATTGAATTCCATTTCAATTGAAACTGAAATAAAGACTGCATTTCAATCGACAATGAGACTTCATTCTGATTGAGCATGAGGAGAAGTACGTTCCGGTGAGAGTCGAAGAGCAAGTTTGCCACATTAGATTAGATTATGGCGCAGACGCCGCGTTCAGCCGCCGTTAGTCGGCGTTATCAACCGGTTTGGACATTGATGCAATCACAAAACCTTTTCCCATGACCCGACGGTGTGTTCGGTATCCAAGGCGATGTTGGTAGACAACTGGCCGCTCTACCACCGCCACTCTCTTTTTCGGGAAATTCATTCGCCGTTTCAGGCAATTCCAGGTGCAAAAGGTTTCAACATTGTCTCAAACAATGTCGAGTTGTTGAGTTTATTGAGCCAAGCAAATTTGAGCAATTCCAATATTTGAACCAAACAAATTTCACTTGTTTGCACTGAGGCGGTGCACTGAACAACAAATATGAGAAGTAATGCAATTTCGTGGCTCATTTCCGCGCATAAAGGGCTTTAGAACACAACGAGGACCAGCGAGATGCGACGATTAATCGCAAAGTTTCATTCCCGAGGGAAGGAAATTGCATCGGGCAGAAAGCGATTAATATTCCTTCGAGAAAGGACCCAAAACCCATAGATCTTGTATCAGGATGGTCGTCATCGATATCGTATCTAGCAGAGAAACATCGCGCGAAAGTACAGACTCGGTACCGGTCGCGGGTGACTCGGAGCAAGAAAATACACCCATATCGAGTAGTATTTTGTCGGAGAAGACCATGAGGCTGTAAATGAGTTGCAATTGGGATACTTCGTGGACCTCTGGTGTGACCTTTGGTGTTCGGAGATCAGGCAGGGAGATGGACTCGATAGTTACAGCGAGTTGTTTTGAGCCGGAGCGTCGGCTCGGTGTAGCGTCTTTGAATCAGCGGCCGACTCAAACACATAGGGAAAAAGACTTCACGACACCATCCCCGATCTGGTCGCATCATCGAACCTGAACATCATCTCCGGTACGGTATAATGGTCAACATTGCCGCCTCTCATCCATTTACCACCTCTCAGGACCAAGTCCGCGGCAGCTCGGGGTTCGATTCCCTGTACCGGAATGACTCGTACTGATCTTGGAAATTTTGCTCCATTTTCGCAAAGAACATCTTAGCGAGGAGCATCAATCCGTCCATTCCACCCCTCGCACTCGCTTCTCGAACCCCCCCCCCCCCTTCGCATCGTCGATGTGATCTAAGCATGATGATATCCGGTCTACGTATGATCATAGTTAGTACATATTCGATGAGCCGCAGAGAAGAAACCAGGTTTAGGACGGGAGGCGGAGAAGCAGAGAGAGGGAAAGCTTTGGTCATCGCTGTATCTTTCACTAATACATAGTTGGTTATCATATCTTTTACTAGCAAGTATATCAATCACCATATTGCCGTCTCCGAGTCTCATGGAGTCATGGTCGGTAGCTCAGGGTTCGATTATGACAGTATTTTTCATCGGAAAATACAACATAGTTGTGTCTACTTTTGTACATGGGCTGTGATCAACTTTCAACTTTCAACGCTCGACTTCGGACTCACGGTAGGGCGTGATCGTGACCTGTGACATGCTACCGCAATTCCGACCTAGGTCTATGGTTCAGCTTCTCTACTCCTCTACTTCACAAAACCCGTCAGCTACCTGTTAGCCTTTCAGCTATGCACATTCATGGTTTGGGAGGTTTGGTTACGGTGAGCGGTATTCCCAGGATCTCAACGGTTCGCCTAATTTTCCACAGGTCAGGCCGAACGGTTGTATAAAGCGGAAGACTTGGCAATGCTGGCAAAGACCACTTTCAGACCCCACATTCCTTTTCTTACCATGGATATGAACTCGTTTGTCAATGCTATTCAGACTTTCAACAGCATGGGACCTGCAGCGCAGAATGCCTTTTTGGGCGCTTTCAACCAGTCACAGCCAAATTCGTCCATTCCTTCGACACCTCCAGCTCCAGCCCAGACCCAACACAGCTCTTTTACTCTCAGTTCACAGCCTGCTGTACAAGGGCGGCCTCATCCTGTCTTTCCTATTCCGCGTCCCCTTTCCAATTCCAACCTGAATCTTAGCCAGAATCAGGTTCAGCAGCCCAGCCAGACTCAGCAACTACCACCAGCTGTAGCACCATATCAATCATCACGCCTCCAAGGCCTCCCTGCTCCCAATTCTGGCAATGCTGGAGCAAGCCTTGAGGCTTTGGCTTCCGGAGTCCCAGGTTTCGCGGGAATGACTTCTGTTGGCGTTTCGTTGGCTCAGCAGGACAGTCCTACCAGCAATGTTCCTGTCAATGTGAACGAAGCCAGACTGCAGTCTGCTTTAAACAGCCTTCCGCAACACAATCCTTCCGGTAACAGTCAGCAGAGAGGTCAGGCCCCCAATCGACGGGCTAATACTAGACCTCGAACTAATGCCATCCGACCGCCTCGACCACCACCTGAGAGGCCAGTCCAGCCCCCTGGTGTCAACGACTGCTTCTTCACTGATCTCTCGAACCAACAAAAGATTCGGATCGCCATCCATGTTCACCCAGAAGCTGTCAAGCGCCCAAGATCTGATATGGAGCCTTGGGAAAAGACCGTAAGCTCATTTCTTCCTCTGTTTTCTCAGATCTCAGAACTTTACCCTAGGATCAGATTGTTTATCACCGAAACCTTGCATATAAGGAGCAAGCCTTTGCCGAGCATATGGGGCTTCATCACGAATACGAGGTTCTGGCAGAGACTGATGTGAGGACCATCCTTCTTATGGTCAAGCAGGATATGGAGCAGCACCCTCACCGATTCATTTTCCAAGCTCGAGATCCACAGTCATGTATCTCAGCCAACCGCTGGACTCGAGAATCCGAGGTCCCCTTTGTATGTATGGAGTTCTGCAATGGTGGCAAGATTACACCCACTCTGCCTGTCCGTATGCGTGCTGCTGCGCTGTCGAACCTCATCAGCATCGAACAAGTCACACGATTTTCCAACATTGCTGTAAAGCCGTTTTGTATCTCCAAGAAGAATCAGTTTGTTTTCCATATCAGTAAGTTTGTTCATTCATCGGCTGATTTGTTGACTAACTGCAAATCCAGGACTCAAGCGGGCAGTGAAAGCAACATTCTCCTTGGCTGACGTCGGTCTCGGCCGGGACAGGCGTGTCAGACAACATACCTGTATGTCTATTCGCTACAACAACAACAACAGGTTCCGCTATGACAGTAGTGATGTCTCTGACCGAGTCGAGGATGAAGATTCAGATTGTGAGGATCAGGGTGACGAAGCTGAAGTTGAGGATGTTATCATGGTATGTTTGTTTATGTTCTCCTTCTCTGTATTAAGCTGATCACTCTCTAGGAGGAGTATCTTCCAGCTCTTCGTACTTCCAACCTTCCCATTATCCCGATTCCTGGTCTGTGGAGCGGCACCTATACGCCACCTATTCCAGATATCCGCATCTCGGTCAGAAACTTCACCCAGGACATCTTTTGCGCTGCTAATCTACGCAATAATGCCATCCAAGAGCTCAATGTCTCAGCATCGAGTTCTGAAGGTTTGGCAGAAAAACTCTTGGACCTCATCATCGAAGCGGTAGACAAGAAGGACTTCTCTCACCTTCTATCTCCCCAGCGATTTCTGAGAGTGTAAGTTTCATCTTCAACAACCATATACCTTATTGCTGACCGCTAAATTCTAGTATCCACGAGCCTGCGACGGTACCTGCATCCAGCGGTTTCGGTGTCGAGATGGAAGCTCTCACTTTGCTCTTCGGCAAATATCATCAAGGTAGCCGGCGTAGCGCATTCTTCAAGACTTTGCATGAAGACCAGGCTTCCATCTGCTTCTCAACGTCGATGCGAACAGCTGGGTCTGTGTCGAGCCAACGCCTTCTCCACCTCGAAGTTCTAGGGGCTATTATCGGGCTTATGCTGGCTCATTGTCGGTACCCCCAAACCGCTTGGGCCCTTCATACTACAGTATCTCATCCACGACATGAACATTCTCAGTCTTGATGAACACTTCACCCGAGAGTGGTCACCGGACCTTCACCGCGCCATCAAATTCATTATCGATGCAGGTGAAGATAGATCTTTAGCTCAAGTTGATTACATATTCCAATCTTACTGCGAAACCAGCGTATGTTTATGACCTTTCCATTCATTTCCTTGACGCTAACACAGTTGTAGGCTGCTGCAATGGATACTCGTAGTGCTGAGTTCCACGAGAGGCTTCCATGTGAAGTGCTTTATGCGTCCACTATAGGCAGGGAGCCTCCTGCCCATCCAGAACTCCAAGCATTCTACGCCGGTATGCAGACCCCTTGCTCCAATGGGTTCAAAATGACAGATGTAAGCCTTTCAATGGCTAATTATGTTATCTGTCTATTCAAATGACCTTCCTTATTCAGGCTATTAAGGCGTATCCAGGAGGCAGCAGCGCCTATCTTGGACTCGTTTCGTCATCTCATATCACTTCTTACAACGACATCAGAGACATTATCACCTTGCAGTTATCCAACGATGCCGACTGGGCCACTATCACAAGTACACTCGACGTTGCAGACGCCCTGGGAAGCTTTGGAGACCTCTTTAGAGAGTTTCTACAAGGGTCAGGTGTTCCTGTTCCAGCGCTTTGGGGTGATGCCCGAAACCATATTTCTGACTTTGTTAACCTGGATGATATCAACGAAGGTTTCTTCCGGCCTCGAATGTTTGCTTGGGCTGCAACTGGGGCGCCTGAGCTCAAGCGTGAACTTGTATGCGGGCGTGATACTATTGACGTGAGTTATCTCTCTCAGATGTTCTGACTGGCTTGAAACTTGTCATCTAGATCTTTCTTTCCTCCAAGGACAGCGCAGAATACAAGGACCCTAGCATCGATGATCCAGGTCGACATGCATTTGCACAGCTGGGTATGTTCTGCATTCATACATGCTCGAACATGCTATCTATTCCGTTGGAACATCTCCTTCAGCTGGGCCAGACTATCATTACGGCTGAAGGTCTTGCTCAGTCTGAACCAGCAGTCAAGGCAAATGCACTCAAACCGCACATCTTTCATTGGCTACTGATCCAAACTCTTAACGCCATAGGAAAGCTCTCTCTTTTATAAAGGACTATTTATTCAACTCCTTCACAACCTGTCCATCCCCTTGCCATTCGTCGCTATCTACCACTATCTAACTGTGCCTTTAATAGCTATTTACTTGATTCCTTCACAATCTTTCCACCCCCTTGCTATTCGTCGCTATCTACCACTATCTAACTGCGCCTTTAATAGCTATTTACTTGATTCCTTCACAATCTTTCCATCCCTTTGCTATTCATCGCTATCTACCGCTATCTAACTGCACCTTGAAAATTATAACAAGTTTGAGTTTGTAAACATGAGATTTATTGAAGTTCAACCTGCCCCAGACCTGAAGATATCAACATACACAAAGATGTTCTGACAACAGTGAACGTATTAGGTGGGTATAGCCAGCACTAGGAAATGTTCGAGTCAAGGCGGCACCGCAGCAGGACAGGACTTATTTGTCACAATAAATGACAAGTGGCTGTCAGCGTGATCTGATACGGTATACGCACCTAATTTTTGTTGCTTCACTCCACGACGACCTCAGTGCTAGCCAGGTTGCTACTCAGGTCAAAATTACTTTACTTATAATTCTCTGGTAATTCCAATCAAGGGTTACGTTCCTAGCTGTCCTGACATGTTTTTTGTGCCGCCCCAGATCTACTGCCAGGCGCAACCTGGCTGGTCTCTACAGCGCTCCAGGTCAGAATATACACCCATCCTGGTTACCACTGTAACCTCAACTCTCACTACAGATTTCATTATTGTCACCCTGGTCAAGCGTGCCATATTTGCCTTCAAGCTGCTTTCCGGCCATTCTTGAGGACATCTGTGAGCAGTTTTCCTCCTCTTTTTATGCGACTCCTTTTTTTCTGGAAGCCTAGGTCTGTTAAGGTTGGCAGGGTTTCTCATAGCCCAACCGCCTTTTCTGACCTTGGGCCTGCCCGGCGTTCAAATCCGAACTGCAACCTTCAAGGGCGTTGGCAGGGTTTCTCACAGCCCCACTGCGCCTGAAA